AGAGAGACAGAGAGAGACAGAGAGACAGAGACAGAGACAGACAGAGACACAGAGACTCATGCCTTCATGTCTATCACTCAAGTCCCCATATCTACTTTTGTAACCCCTCCAGTAAGCTAGTTTGGGTTGAGTTTCTTTCATTCTTTAAGAAAGTCTCTTGACTGTTACTGAGATATAGACCAAGGGTTAAGACTTTCATCATGACTATTGTCTGAATTAACGTTCTATTACCATTAAGCTATGACTGAGAATACTGGCTTTGCAGCTGAAGATGCCCACATTTAAATTCCAGCTTCACCACATACAAATACTCTGCTCTTGGGCAACATAACCTATTTTAGTCCCACTTTTCCTCATTTATCTTTACAGAAGCATAAAGATTATTCATAATACTCAAGTTTTTATAATTATTAAAAACATAATGCATATAAGAATTTAACACAATGCCCGACTACTAGGTATAGCTTGGTAAACGTTAGCTGGTATTATTGCTGTAATATAGGGCATCGATTTAGGGTTGAAAGTGTATGATATTTGGGCAGTCATTTCATGGCCTTTAGAACCCCATGCGTTCTCATTATGTATCTTCCCTTCCTACCACACAGTCTGGGGTACTGAATTATAGGAGATGACCAACTCACCCGTTCCTGAATTTCATCAAGAAATACTAAGCTATTGACATATTCTATAGTAGTGGTGGGAATAAACTCAAGCTTGTACTCTGCATCTTGTGCCTCAGAGATAATGTCATCCACTTTTTTCTTGCTTAAATGAGGAAGCATGATATTTAATACCTAAGAAAGAAAAAGAAAATGGAAATTGTCAAGGTTCACCTGCAGGGTTTTGGGAAGACTGTGGGACCACGGGGGCGCTATAGCTGACTTGATCTGGGGAGGTGTGGCCTGGCGGTGGGGGAGGGGGGAGGCAGGCTGCTGGGGGCTTGACTGGAGGGGTGTATCCCTGGCCAGGGCTCCTCTCTGTCCACTTCCTGTCCACCATGATGTGAGTAGCTTTCTTCCGTCAAGGCCCTTCCACTGTGCCAATGACGCACAAAGTTGAAACTTTGGAAATGGGAGCTAAAATAATCTTTTCCTCTATACTGTGAGTGTAGGTTATTTGTCCCACCAATGAGGAAAGTGACTAAGCCTGTAATTAGATACTTGACTATTTTCCTATTTTATTATTTATTTTCAACAAGTGCTAATTGGACATTTTAAAAAAATGAGTGGGTTTTGGTAGCAATAGTGCATAGGAAAGAGATTTTTTTTTTTCTCATTAAATCACTACCAGCCAAACAAACAAGCTGAAGTTCAGGTTCTGAAGATGATCTGTAGAGTGATTTAGGTTGCACAGTTTTCTATACAGTTTGTCTCAATGCTCTGATATCTTGCCAGTATGGTTTTCTGAACCCTTCTTCATCCTACATAGTGGACGTGTTGTGCACCCCTCCTGAGCATTAATCCTAGTCCTTTCCTCTTGGGTGAGGAGGCAGGTGCTTTGGGGACCATAGATCTCTCCTTCACATTTGAGCCTGCATTCCTTTGGCCAGAGTGATCTAATGGGAAAGAAGTGTAGGGCTTTTGGTTACTCAGAATACCGAATCTCTCCTTCGCTCTATTTGTACACAAACAAGGAGATTAGTAACCAGGGATGTTTTCACTATCTGTGTCATGAAGAAGAGTGAATGCTTGCTTCAGGATGAACCCCTGTGACTCATGAGGGTTTCAGAAAAGAGAAGGAGCAAATTAAGGTCCTTTGTAACATCACTGAGTCAACAGATGAAACCAGTCCAATGGTCATCTATTTATGGGCTATTTATTTATTTATTTATTTATTTTTGCATTTAGGACAGGGTGTACAGGATCTCACTGTGTAGATCAGACTCATAGTGATCCTCCTGTTTACAGCCTCCCAAGTGCTGCGATTACAGGCCTGCCACCACGCCCAGCCTCAGTTCCCATCTCAGCATGCCTTGAAGGCAGGGCTGGCAAGGCAGACCTGGGGATCGAACCCCAGGCCGCTGCATCTGCTAAGCAGGTGCTTTAATCTGCTGATTATGTGCTTTTTAGATGCATACATTTACATTTTCTGATTGTTTAAGCCTGTTTGAGTTTAGTTTTTTCTCTTTTGGCATATAGTAGTACTCAAAATGTTTGTTGCTACTGAATTTGCTTCAAATATATGTAGTTTTTTCTTTTTTTAACATATGAAAATACAAAAAAAAACATATGAAAATACAAAGCTTTACAAGAAAGCTAAATGTCACACAATTAATTACTTATAGACACCTAATTATGGACTAGCACTCAGGTCTTAAGTCTTTTAAATAATCCTCTGTCTTCTATCATCTCTACCAAGGATCGGCAAAGATTTCCATAAGAGTCAGACAGCAAAGATTTCAGATTTGTGAGCCATACAGTCTCTCTTACAACTACTCAGTTCTGACCATGGAGTGAGAAAGCAGCCCTAGACAAACTGTGTATGCAAAATAAGAAGCTGACTGTATTTTCCTTGAATCTCTGATCTCTACCACTGTCTCTCTGGAGGCCTTTGAAAACATACAGGTATATGCTTACTCCCAAGGAAATCACTGTGTTGGTTGTATAAATTACTTTGGACCTTGAGGGACAGTTCCCAATTAGGAAACGGTCCACTGAACTCGACCTAAGTATCCTAAAATCAGCACTCATTCCCACTGAGCCACTGAGCTGTGGCAGTGGTGTCACTCTTCAGGAAGTACTGAAATCCTCAACAAAGGAAAATAAGCGTAAAGACCTGATTTTAAGCTTGCAGTCCCTCTCACACCTCATCTAAAGCTGTTTACGAGGGCTAGTGAGACAGCTCAGCAGACTAAGTGCCTGCTTAGGCAAGCGCAGGGACCACGGTTCGATCTTGGCACCACGTGCCATGCTGGTCCTGACCCCAGGCACACTGAACCAGCCACTGAGTCTGGCCTTGGGGGCGCATGCCTATAATCAGTGCTTGGGAGCCTGAAAACAGGAGGATCACTGTGAGTCTGAGCTGCCTAGTGAGACCCTGAACCAAACATTAAAAAAAAAAAAATTCTAAAAGCTGACTACACTTGTGTGTTTTCTTATCAATTAAGAATGAACAGCAGGGGACAGCCAAATAGCTCAGCAAATTAAAGTGCCTACAAGCAGGTGCAGGGGCTAGGGGTTCGATTTCAGGCCTGCCATGCTGGCCCCACCCCTGGGGCGCACTGAGATGGCAACTGAGACTAGGTGTGGTGGAACGTGCCTGTAATCCCAGCTCTTGGGAGGCTGTAAACAGATGGATCACTACAAGTCCGATCTAGTAGTGAGACCCTGAACACCCTGCAGACCTTTCCCTAATATACAAAAAAAACCCCAACAACAACAACAAAACCAACAAAAAAACCCAGTAGTCTTATGTCAATTTCAATATTTTCAATGTAAGAAAATCGATGCAGTTTTATTTTTGAAGTACAAGAAATGAAATTATTGTAGAGAGTACAATTAAAAACTCTCTTAGTTTATAGTTACCTCCAAGCATCGCAAAGGTGATGGAATCAGTTTTTCTTTTAGTTGTTTAGTGTCAATGAGCAACAATCCTACGTTCCTGGCGGCTCTTAGGGCCACTGCATCCTTGTGCTGCTTGTGATATTTTTCCAGTTGCTCACTGAAGTATTTCACATCTACATAAAATAATTCACATAAATTATAAAATACACTGGATTTAAAAGAATCATTATAAAATATATCATAAATCATGGCATTGTATGCATTTATAATGCTACTCTCCATACTTTGTAACTCTGAACTCATTGAGAATGTTTTATAATGTTTTGTCCTGATGATAAAAGGCCATATTTTACAATGGAAGTACATTTTCTGGCTCTCAGGAAGGGACAATAGATGCGACCAGCGTCGTCTAGCCCTACCTTTCTTTCTTGTACTCTGTTACCATTCACACATGTGCATTTTAAGAAACTGAAGGTTTGTAGCAAAACTTGAGTTGAGTAAGACTATTTTGTTCCATTTTTTCAGTAGCTCAGATGATTGCTAACATTTTTTAGCAATAAAATATTTTTAAATTAAGTTACATACATTACTTCTTAGATAAAGGCTTTTGTACACTTCATCTCTACTGTAGAGAATAAACACAACTTTTATATGCACTAGGAAGGGAAAAATCTGTGTGGAACTTGCTTCATGTGCTACTTTATTGCAGTAGTTTGGAACCGAACTCAATACTCCTGAGCTATAACTGTGCTATTACATTAGAGCATCTAGTCTGGAATGTAATAGATGATAGGCGTAGGCTGGTTTGAAGTTGGGCTTAATCTAAGAGTCCCCCCACATGGTAACTGAAAGTAAAGCATTTTGAGGACATTTGTAATAAATTTTTGAAATATAAAACAAAAAAATTAAAAAAATAAAATTTTGCAATATAAAAGCTCAAGTGTAGCTAAATCATCCTCGGTCCCCTTTCCAGCACCCCTCTGGCATTTCTGCACCTTGCATCACAGTAAAGGAACTTGCCAGTCTGCATCTGGCTTGTGCTGCAGCTGCATTGTAATGATCTTCCTCCCTCTGTTTTCTATCCAACCTCCTCACCACGTACCCAGAGACAATGGAAGCTTGATTGTGCTTGAATATATTTTTATCATGCTGCTGGCCCAAAACAACTCTTTTTAATGCATATGTAATCCCAACCTCTTACGCTTGACTTTCAGACTCTTGCAGAGTTAGCGGATCTAACTGACTACGTCGGTGTTTGGGAGAAGCCTACTTGGTGCACTGAAATGCCAGGCTCTGTGCCATAGAGCCATCTGATGCTCAGCACCCTGTCCTTGTCGTTCTCCTGCTCAACACATCCTAAGTCTCTGTGGACAATGTTGCCAAGGAGCAATGGAATAGATCTATCCAATTTTTGTTTTTCCTAATGTGATGTTCCATTTTGGTCTCTCTATTAAGTGACTTTAAAAAAGTCTGTTTCAGATTTTTAAAACTTAAGGGATATAATAAATCAGATGCAATGCCTGCTCTCAGACAAGATCGTGGAGGAACCATCTGTAAATTGCTTTAACTGGGGAATTTTAGACATGGAACGAGCTGAGAAATTATATATCGATTCCATAAGCAACTAACAAATTCTTTCTTTCTTTTTTTTTTTTAGTGGAACTGGGACTTGAACTCAGGCCCTTGTGCTTGCCAGGGAAGCACTTATTCCACTGAGCCATCTCCCCAGCCCCTAACAAATTCTTTGGAGGGGATGTGGCACTGTTGTTCTGGTTCTGTAGGAACATTTTTTGGGATGAATACTGAATTATTTAACTTAAAGATGGAATGACATTTAAAATACTCTAGCATTATGAAATAATGTTGACAGGAATTTTATTGAACTTTAATAGAATTGGTAGAGGTATGTATATATTCTTTTCAACTCCTTACCATGTGTAGAATATATAGTGTTGGCCCTAATACAACCTCATACTAAAAGGTCATAAGGCTTTAGGGACCAAAACTTTCCATAATTTCTCAAGATAGAACAACAGTAGTGAGTAAAGGACAAAGGAAGAAAGTAATTCTATGCAAAGTAATTCATTTCTACCTAGAAATGAACACATATTTTTTAAAGTTTGTGTGTGTGTGTGTGTGTGTGTGTGTGTGCGTGTGTGCAGGGTCTCACTACGCAGCTCAGACTTGTAGTGATCCTCCTGATTTCTGCCTCACTAGTGCTGGGATTACAAGCATGTACCACCACACCCAGACTCCATTTCTGGCTTAGTGCACCCGGGGGTGGGGCCAGCATGGCATGCAATGCCAGGAATTGAACCCTCGCCCTTGGGATTACCTAAGCAAGCACTTAGTCCGCTCAGCAAGCACTATACCGCCGGCTCTTGTATTTGTTTTTTCTTGGGACTTATTTTACACTACCATTTCTGTCACTAAGTACAACTGTCATGGTTTGGGGGTTTTGCAAGGCAAACAATATATTACAGGACACATTTTATAATATTATTGTATAACAAGTTACCCAAGAATCATGTACAAGATGTGCAGGCAATCTGTCTACACACTAGACACTAAAGAATCCAGCTGAAAGCCTGGATCCTAATACCCTGCATGAGTCCGGCTGAAATCCTAGAGTTCATGATGATGGCTCCCACAAATCCAACTGGAGGTCTAGAGCCCATGACAAAGTCTTATGCAGGCCTGCTTCAAGGATCTCCGCTGGAAAGACCTAAAGCGTTAGTGGTAGGAGTTAGGAAGTCTATGCCAGCGGGATGAAGAATCTGTGCTAGCAGGCTGAGGAATCTGAACTGGAGCCAGGAAGCAATGCTCAAGGTAAGCACCAGGGCTCCACACAAAGGGATCGCAGCCATCCTCAGCAACAGTGAGTCCCGAGCTTCTCCCGCGATGAGGAAAGCTGAGTTTCCATATGGAAAGCCAACGCGACAAGCTTCTCCGTGAGGCTGAGCAATGCACCACCTTCCCCTCCAGAGCCAGGAAGCGATGCTCAGGATGAGGACTACAGCTCCTCTAAAGTTTATTGGGAAAGCCAGCAAGACAAGGTCCTCCAGCAAAACAGCCCAAGAGAACTAGCAGCTCCAAAAGCTTCTCCAAACAGCGTCCCTAACAGCATTTCTGACAACTTCTGTTTGCTTTTATGCTGCTGGCAACTGCCCTCACGTGGGCCTCCCACACTCAGCACCGTGCTACTTTAATTCAGCTGGGCGCAGTAAACTGACCATCAGTTAGAAACCCCTACAACTACCAAACCGAAAACCAGCCTACAAATTTTGGTATCCTTATTGAAAAAAATCAGCAAGAATAAACAGAAAACTTACCAGGTTCCTGAAGTTTCAGAGCTTGTAGATCCAGACTTTCATTTTCCCTAAAGAATATATGGAACCTTTCAAATGTAGCCGCATATAAGTGGGCAGATTGGAATGCTGCATGAATGTTTTCCTAAATGTTATGAACAAACAGACAAGTTTTACTAAAGCAGAATTCAACTTGGTATAACTACGCGCGTGTGCGTGCATACACACACACACACACACACACACACACACACACCCCTTTGCTCTGTGCAATAGTATATTTTGACTTGGGAATATACTGATGAGGAAAGATACCATCTTTGATGTCAAAGGTCAATTTTTTTAAGGATCAATTGATGGATTAAAAATATAAACATTTACAATCTGTCTACAAATCTGTCTTTTGAGGAATTATTCTTTATGACTGAAAGCACCCTTGTAATTTTTCCCGCTTCATAGTGACCGCATACATCATTAATAAACATTTGCAAAGTGACAAACCCTGCTTGCTTTCTAAACTGAAAATTTTATGTTTTAGTTAAAATGTTCTTGGGCAAAGGCAAGATTGGTTAGGATGCCTAAAATAATCACTTGCCGATCTTACTGTCAAATTCTCCTTCATATTTGCCCTAATAAAATCTATTTCTTTTAAATCTGATTCCAATTCTCTTTTCCTACAAAGGTTTCTTTCCCCCAAGACAATTACATTTATTTCAGTACTTTATTACATATATATATATATATATATATATATATATATATTCACATTTGGTGCTTATGAAAGGCAGTAAGAACTTGTTTGTTGTTCTTGATCCATGACTCCCAGGTTATATTCCCTACTCTAGCCTACCCTAGCCTACCCTACCCTACCCTAGTCTATCCCACCCTACCCTAGCCTACCCTAGCCTATTCTTGCCTACTCTAGCCTACCCTAGCCTATTCTAGCCTACTTTAGCCTACCCTAGCATACCCTAGCCTACTCTAGCCTACCCTAGCCTATTCTAGCCTATCCTACCCTAGCCTACCCCATCCTACCCTTGTATTTCCTATTAAGGCTTCTTGAAAATGCACAATAATTTTCAGGGGAAACTAGAGAAGACTAATGTAATTGCACAAATGCAACTCACCAGTATTAGGGATGGTGGCTCAGAGTCATGCTTCATAGATGTTAGGCTACTAGTAGAAAGTTCAATTACAAAGACTAGCAAACACCTCACCCATCTGTATTTGTAATTTGTTCATTTATTTCTTTTTTACTAGACTCCCATGTAAATTCCAGAATGTTTCTGGTGTTTCCTTCTTTATTAAGAAAAACGTATGTCAAACTATGTCTTTGCTGGGCTCACTCAATAGCACATCCGATATATATGTCATCATACAGTGATGGAACCAGAAAATTGACACATGTAGGCCCAATTATATTCAAAATGATTTAAAAATTTTGAGATCATTTCTGATTAACAAGAATGTTGCTGAAATAGTACAAAGAATTCCTTATATGTTACCAAAATTCCCTAAATGTTAACAGCTTACCATCTTTCTCTTTATTTACATACTCTTTTTCTCTGAACTACTATGTAGAGCATCTGTGTGTGTGTGTGTGTGTGTGTGTGTGTGTGTGCATGTGTGTGCACGCATGTGTGTGCAATACTGGGGATTGAATGCTGGTGTGCTGCACATGCCTGTAATCCCAGCACTTAGGAGACTGTAAACAGGAGAATCATTATGAGTCTGATCTAGTTTTGAGATGCTGAGCAGCCTGTAGACCCTTCCCTAAAATATATAGATATATGAAAAATATCTTGTTTCTTATTATATTTTTGCATATTTATTTTTATTTTTAATTTATAAAGACATAAAATTACATATTAATAGGTAGCATGAGATGTTTTAATATCTCAGCCCCTTCTTATTTCAGTCTGAGACAGGATCTGGCTAAATTTTCCAGTTAGGACTCCGATCTTATAATCCTCCTGCCTCAGCCTTCCCAAAGAGAGCTAGGACTACAGGTGTGTACCACCACAACCAGCTCATATATAGCATCTTGTGATAACTCTTTGTATTTCTTTAACCTCTGATACTTCCTGAATTTTTCTCTCTCTTTCATGACCATTTTATTTTGAAGATTATCTCGTGTGTGTGTGTGTGTGTGTGTGTGTGTGTGTGTGTGTGTGGTGTGTCTGTGTGTTGCATGTTTTCAATCCTAGATTCATTTACCCATTTCTGGCTATAGTAACAGAGAAGTGAGGCATGTTTTCAGTGTTTCATGTCGTGGGGCACATGATGTTAATTTACCTCATTATTGGTAATGTTAACACATTGGTTACAGTGGTGTCTGCCAGGGTCATCCCTGTAAATATACTACTTCTCCTTTCAAATCTATAAATATGAAGGGAGGCTTTGTACCCATGTAAATATCTTGTTTCTTGGGCTGGCCAAATAACTCAGTGGATTAAAGGGCCTGCAAGCAGGCTCAGGGGCTAGGGGTTCGATTCCTGGGCCAGCCATGTTGGCATTGCCCCTGGGGCATTCTGAGACAGCAGTTGACACTGGGTGTGGTGGCACGTGCCTGTAATCCCAGAACTTGGGAGGTTGTAAACAGGAGAATCACTGAGTCCAATCTAGTAGTGAGACCCTGAATACCCTGTAGACCTTTCCTATATATATGAAAAATATTTTGTTTCTTATATTTTTGCATATTTATTTTTATTTTTAATTTATAAAGACATAAAATTACATATTAATAGGTAGCATGAGATGTTTTGATATCTGTACACATTGCATAATGCTTAAGGTAGGTCACCTATCTACCCAAACATCTATCATGTTGTCATGGTCAAAACATTCAATACCCTTCTGTCTAGCTTCTTGAGATTATATAATACAGAATTGCTGTGCAGTCATGCGACCCTGCAATAGCACACTAGAGCTTTTTGTTCCTTTCTAACTGTAACTTAGTACGCATTGAATAACGTTTCTTACCCTCCCAACTCCATCCAGCCTTTGGGTACCACCATTCCATTTCTAACTTCTATGAGATCAACTTATTTAGAGTCTACATTTGGGTGAAATCATGTACTTCTCCCCTTTTTGTGCCTGGCTTACTTTACTGCACATCTTAATCTTTGGTTCCATCTCTGTTGTTACAAATAAAAGGATTTCATTATTTTAATTTTTTCACTTTTTTTTTTTTTTTTTTGCGGAACCAGGGATTGAACTCCCGCCCTTATGCTTGCCAGGGAAGAGCTTATTCCACTGAGCCATCTCCCTGGCCCCTTTCACTATTTTTTTTTTTACACCTGAATGGAATGACATTGTGAACATACAGCATCATATCATCCACTGAGCAGTTTATGGACACTTAGGTTGATTTCATGTCTCGCCAATCATGAATAGTGCTGCAATGAAATGGGAACACAGATGTCCCTTTGATGCACTGACTTCCTTTCCGTGAAATCCAAACCTTTTCCAATGACAGATTGATCAAATAGTAGTTCCATTTTTAATTTTTTGAAGTCACAGCCTTCCATAGTGGCTATACTAATTTATTTTTCCATTAACAGTGTGCAAAGTTTCCCTTATAGCCATCTCCTTGCCAGCACTTGGCTTTTGAATAATTTATTGGGGTGATGTGACACCTCTTTGTGGTTTGATTTGTATTTCTTCTATGAAAGGGGATGTTGATTATTTTTTCATATGGTTGTTGGCCATTTGCATGTCTTCTCTTGAAAAATGTCTATTTGGGACTACTCAATTCTCTTTTTAGTGTATGCTGGAGAATTTTGCCTATTTCTATGCCACTGTGGTGACCTTTTCATTTATGTTTGTCTTGGTTACTCTTCTCTTGTTGCTGGGACAAAATATCCAACACCCAAAGTGAAGGAAGGCAAGGTTTATTTAGCACACAATTACTGGAGGTTTCAGTTCATCCTCAGCTGGCTCTAAGGTGGAGTAGCACAGGACAGAGAGCCTCCATTAGTGGTGGCAGCAAAGAGCAAGAGAGCCACGGGAGTGGTAGCGGCAACAAATGGCAACAGACAGGAAGTCTATCTCCCTTAAGTTGCATTCAGGCTATCTGTCCCTGGCTGGGTATAGTATTCACACTCATAATCCCAGCAGTGCTAAGACCCATAATCTCAGTCTTGGTCATGAATTGATCTCAAACTCTAGAAGCTGGCCCATGACTGCGTGAGGCGCTTTACTTCCACATTTATTAGTGGCATTCTACTGGTGGAAGAAGTCTTGCTTCTTACTTCATTAATTCACAACATGCGTTCATAGATTTTGATTTCATTCAAGAGGTAATGGTTTTGCTATAATCTTCATTTATTTGATGCTCTGTTGTCCTAAGGAGATATGTAACTACCTGAGGATGACTAACTCCATTCCATCATCCTTACTTATAAATATATAAGTAATATATTTACTTATTTGTTTAGCTCTAGAATATACAAAAAATAGCTTCAAAAATTGTTGAAACTAAACAAAACACTAAAAAATTAAAAAACAAACATATCCAGAATTTAGTGTTTCTCTTTAGTATTGGATTAATGATCCAAATACTGAATGCAAAACTTGCTTGGCTTAGTGTTTCTCGGCCTTCCCTTCAGGGTGGTTATGTTGTACATCTGAAACACACTCAGGTTCCTTTGGTTTTGCTTTATTTTATTTTAAGTTTTGATTGCCATTCTTGCATTAGAGCTATACTGAAACAGATTAGAAATAGTTACTTGGTCATTTCTTCTACTCCACACCCACTATCTTAATCCTTATTAAACCATTCTCTCTCTCTCTCTCTCTCTCTCTCTCTCTCTCTCTCTCTCTCTCTCTCCTCTAGGTAAACAATTTCATTATCTTTTGTTTTATTTCTGCTTCATGCCCCTATTTTTGACATGAAAAGGACTGTATAATAAATATTCTTCTGTATTTTGCCCTTTTCACTTAATGATATGTCCCATAAGTCACTCCATATTACTTAATAGCTTCTTCCTTTTTTTTTTTTTTGATAAGCTGCATAGAATTCCTTTGTTTGGATGTACCATAGTTTGTTCAATCATTTTCTCATCTATGGGTATTTTGGTGGCTTCTAATATTTTGCAATCATAACTAGTATTGTAATAACCAAATGCATATATAATTTTAGAT